TTTGGTTGGTCCCCTTGTCATCAGCGGACCATTAGCTGATAAAGTGCAATATCACAATGGCCCTCCCTCCCCGTGGGGAGCAGAGACCTATTTTCAGGGTTCGCCCTCGCAGGCTACTGGATTCTATTGGATTCCAGGATGCCATACGTGGGATTCCGATTGACCTGGCTGGCACTCCTGTTGAGGCCCTGGTGGATGGGTTACCCTGCCGCTGCCAGGGCTATAGACACAATTTTTCCTAAATTTCCTCTCCGCTGCAGAGCCTGACCAGCACCTTGGTTTAACCAGCAGCTGAGGGCTATGAAGCAGAATAGGAAAAGGCTAGAGAGCATTTGGAGGCAAAATCCAATGGAAAATAACTTAAAAGCTGCCAAGGTCGCATCTAACCTCTACCTTCTAGGAAAGCCTACTTCTATCCGGATAAGCGAAGCACCCAATCAGCAGGTGGAACTTTTCTGTATAGTATGCGACTTATCCAGAATTGGCCACAACGATTAACCTCCATCTAGCATTTCTTGTGACCGATTTGCAGCATTTTTAAAAACAAAAGTAGAGGCCATCGGCCAGGATTTTGCACCCTATTTGAAAACAGTAGATCAAGCTGAAACATCCAGCGCAGCGCCTTGTCCATTGAGAATTACTCAGTTTCAACCTGTGACATCTGCAGAGGTGGACAAGGCCCTTGATCACCCTTGAGCCACCACCTCCTCCCTTGACCTTTGCCTGTCCTGGCTAATCAAAGCTGCCAAGCCAATTATAACTGAATGGGCAATTGAAATAATAATGGGTCTGTTCTTGAGGCAAGGTTCCTCTTGCCCTTAAGGAAACACTCATTAGGCCCATTGGTGGCAGACAACATTGGCAATTATAGGCCCATCACCAATGTTTCTTTTCTCAGCAAGGTAGTTGAGAGGGTGGTGGCTGACCACCTTCATGCTGTCTTGAATGAAACCGATGCCCTGGATCCATTTCAGTCGGGCTTCAGGCCGTGCCATGGCACAGAAACTGCATTGGTCACCCTGCTGGATGACCTACTTAGGGAGGCCGATGGGCAAAATGTCCTTGCTCGTCCTCCTTGATATCTCAGCCACCTTTGATACTGTTGACCACAGTATCCTCCTGGGGAGGCTCTCCAAGTTGGGGATTGGTGGCCTTGCTCGTGCTTGGCTCCGGTCCTTCTCGGAGGGCTGTCCCAGATGGTGCAGCTTGGGGAGGATGTATCGGCCCCGTAGTCCCTCAGTTGTGGGGTCCCCTGCAGGGTTTGATCATCCTCCCAATGCTGTTTAATATCTATATGAGGCTGTGGGGGGTCATCCGGGGATGTGGAGCTTCGTGTCACCAATATGCTGATGACACTCAGCTCTACATCTCCTTTTTTCCATCTGCAGCGGATGCCGTTCTGTCCCTTGGGTGCTGCCTGGAGGCCGTTCTGCAATGAATGCAGTCAAATGGACTAAGGTTGAACCCAGACAAGATGGAGGTTCTGCGGGGGGGTGGGGTCCTGATGTCAGTGGTTTGGGGAACTCCCTCTCTTTTGGGAGGTGACTCTCACCACAAAGAATTTGGTCTGGGGGTCCATCTTGACCCAGTGCTTACCATGGAGACCCAGGTAGCATCCGTGGTTCGGTCTGCCCACTTACATCTTCAGCGGATCACCCAGATGTGGCCCTATCTAGACATGGGGGCACTCACCACGCTGGTCCATGCACTCGTAGTCTCACGAATAGACTACTGTAACGGTCTCTACGTGGGGCTTCCTTTGAGACTAATGCAGAAGCTTCAGATGGTCCAGAACATGGCGGCCAGGCTCTTAACAGGGGTGAAAAGTTTTCACCATATTTCCCCCACTTTGGCTGCTTTACACTAGCTACCTATTCTCTTCCACATTGATTTCAAGGTGTTAACCATTACATATAAAGGCCTTAATGGTTTAGGACCTCAATACCTGGCAGAGCGCCTTCTTCCGCTCAGTTCTACCAATATCACCCGCTCCAGTCAGGCTGGGCAGCTGAGGGGGCTAACGCCAAGAGAGGCCGGGTGGAAAAAAAAAACAGAAATCAGGCCTTCTCATCAGTGAGCCCTCGCCTCTGGAACAACTCTTGAGATCTGCCTGGCTCCCTCACTGAGGGCCTTCAAGACTAGCTTGAAGACATTGGCTATACAGGCAGGCCTTCCCTACAGCCATTACCTAGCTGATCTCCCCTTTTCTTCTTTTTGTTTTCTCTCCTTTTTCTTCCTCTTCTCCCCCCCTTCTTTTTTCCTTTCCCATCTTGGATCAATCTGGATTTTACCTTAGTTTATTTTATATTACTGTATATATAAACCGTCCAAAGTAGACACATTCTAGATGGGCAGTATATAAATCTAATAAATAAATAAATATGAAACAGAGGTTTGAACTTTATGCAGGAAGTAATTTTTTATTTTAATACTGACCCCAGTAATAAAGTATGGTTGAACATATGACGGTTCAGTTAATGAGTGTTCATGAAGAAATAATTAAATTGTAATTGTGGCATTTTGCTGTAGTACTTATCTTGATATTGTTCTCAAAGCTCTGATGGCAATGGGGATCACTGAAATGTGTTTCATCCACAAACAAGGTATTTCAATTGCCAGGTCTCTGTATTTTGTTAGTTTTTCCAGTTCTTTACAGTGGACCCTTGACTTACAGACGGCTTGACTTACAGACTTTTTGAGTTACAGACTTCTCTGGCCACAAAATTTAGGTTTGACTTGCAGCCTGAGAATTGACTTACACACCAGAAAAAAACCAAAATGCAACAAAAACGGCCTGTTACGGGATTAATCGGTTTTCAATGCACTGTAGGTCAATGGAGACTTGATCTACAGACTTTTTGACTTGAGAACCGCCTTCCAATACGGATTAAGTTCTCAAGTCAAGAGCCCACTGTATCTTCAATTCTGGCATCTAATTGTAATGTCTATTATCCAGACATTTCTTTGTTCTATTACAATTTTGTCTGGTGTGTTGTGTTCAAGGTGTCTATCAGTTTGTATCTGAAAATCGCACAGGATCCTGACTTCATCATTTTCCGACACCTTTTGTACCTGATGTTCCGATGGGTTTTTGAAAGCTGCCAAGTTATAATTTTTTCAATAAAGACCAACGATGATGTTGATGGTGATGGCTGAGTTGGCTTTAGAAATATAGCTGGATCCAGAGGTCTCCTTCTATGTTGTTATTTTGTTTACAACACAAGGCCCACACACAAAAACAGGAAGATAAAATCCAACAATGTGCTCTATGACACATAATGTCATAAAGATACAGTATGTGTCATATTAACTCTGTGTCGTGTGAAATTTTTCATCCAGCTCCACAACAGTCTGCAAAAATGTTAGTAATATCAGAATTTCCTGCACTTATGCACCTCTAGGTGTTATCCACTGCATGTATTTCTGCAAATGCTGTTGAGATCCTTTCCGCGCCCCTTATGTTCTCTGCTGGATTCACTAGTAACTATGACAACCTATTAGATACAGCTGTACTTCCACATCAGTGATATTCTCCACACACATTGTATGGTTTCATTATGACAATATTTAATAAATTCACTTCCGGTAGTAAAATGTATAGTATGAACTGTTCAGCTGTACATGAAGCAAAATAGGTTTCCTATTAAAGTTGTTGCTGTTCATACTAACTGGCACAATTGATTCATTAAAAAAGCAGAGGTGATGATCACTGCATAGAAAGGAATTGATGATATTGAAGGTCTGGGAATGATTCTTCATCCTATAAGTGTGAAGGGTTTTTTTAGGGGGGGGGGTTTGAAACCTTGTGTATCTTTTGTAAGGATATGCAGTGAAACTTGATGCAAGCTTTTTATTGAATTAATCTGTACAATTTTGTTTCTGAATGTTTCATACCTTACCTTGTGTTAGTGGAAATAGTTAAGAACATAGTATTGTTATTTGTAAAATCTGTAAGGTGAAAAAAATGGAAACTAAAAAGTGTGATATATGAAATAAGCCTTTAAAATGTATTATTAGACCAGTATCCTATTACTGTACTAATCTTGCCTAGAGAATAGACCCACTGGAACAATTACTAAATGGAAAAAGCCACATAATGTAGCTGGCAGGGCATTACAGCTATTCACTCATTACTCACATGAATATACTCTTAAAGGACCTTAGAGGAGCTTGCTTAGCCCCTCGCCTTCCGTCATTGCTTTCTCCTTGTGAGATGCAACACATCTGCTTGCATGTAGGCCCTGCATGATTTTGCAAGATTCGTGCTGGTACCAACATATGAACAGAGATGCTCCTTCTACATATGTATCACTTTCTATATGGAGAAGGCAACAACAGAGAAGAGGAGGAGTATGTACTCCCCCTCTAAGTTTAGTGATTCTTTTGTGGGAAAGTGACTGAATAATCCTATTGTATCTGAAATTGGGATGACAGATCTTTAAAACAATTCACCTGTGGTGTTTAACAGACATGAGTAGAATCTGTAACAGGATTAGGTAGAATATTTCAAGCACAAATTGCATCTGAAAGCGTCTCATTTTCTAAATACAATAGAGTGACACATGATAGAATATAAATTCTTTCATCTTCTACTTTTTTAAAAATAATCTGAAATAGCAAACAAGCCTGCAAACATTGTCATGCAACTACAAAACATCAGTTAAATCAAATTGGTGAAATATATGGAACAACTGGCACTCAAATAGGGCAGAACCTTTAGGTTACACTCGAGTAAATGACAGCAGAACACCTGGGTTTCGGTAGTCAAGGCAACAGCAGACATGACTTACTGAGAAAATTGCTGGTCTTTGACGTAAATAAACAATTCATTCGATGTAAGATCATTTTTACCTTAATTTTATCATCTGTTCCCATTTTTTTCTTGGATAAAAGAGGTTTTATTATTAGTGCATATAGTCAAAGAAACCCACCAACACTGGATAGAAATGCAATAATGTATTTAATATTTCTTTCCTCCCCCCCTCCCTGCCCCATTGTAGATCCACTGGAAAGGAGTATGCACTGAAGATTATAGACAAAGGAAAATGTTGTGGAAAGGTATGAGTGAATATCATAGCAGCTTAAGATGCAGTAATTTACAGTAATTTCATTCATCTCCCCATGATGGCAATATTCTTTGTCTACATTTATTGCACCAAGTTACTTACCAAATTTTTGATAGGTTTGCAAATTTACCATTTCTCTGAGTGGCTTATTCTAGTATGCATCTATTATTCTATCTTTTAAAGAAGCAACTAGCGCTTTTGGTCATCATTGCTTTTCTAAAAAGACAACAAAGTTTTAAGATAAGTTGGTGTGTACATATATGTGTGTATATATTTGCAACTATTTAACAAAGTGCTCTCTCTCTCTCTCTCTCTCTCTCTCTCTCTCTCTCTCACACACACACACACACACACACACACACACACACACACACACACACACACACACACACACACACACACACACACACACATATACACCAACTTATCTTAAAACTCTGTTGTCTTTTTAGAAAAGCAATGATGACCAAAAGCGCTAGTTGCTTCTTTAAAAGATTTTCAGTATTTAAAACATTTTCAGTATTGATATGGCATGGTCATTATTTTAAAAAAACATTGTAAGAAGTGGGGGAAAAGAGCTGCTTAAAAGTAACAGTCCAGTATATATCAGTAAAGCATGGGCAGGAAATTGTACAGTACACGAACTATGGTTGAATATCATTTCTATAGAGAGTGGAATCATATTAGAAACATTACTTCAAATAGTCAGAGATATGTATTCTGCATAATAGGAACAAGGATGAATTCATAACCATGTTTTTACTTTTTTGAGTAAGAGATAAGTGAATGGGGAATGGAAGCAAAGTTATTTCCAGAATTCCCTTCAGAAGTAGCCCAAAATACAACTGCACTGTGATGCACCTTACAGATGACAAGAATTTCTATTTTCTTTGGAAAAGGTGTGAATTCTGTGAAGTTTTTAAAATAGTGTTTTAATATTATAATTAATTGTATTTTTAAATTTGTATCTGTTTTTAAAATTCATATATGAAGCTGCCTTGAGGGCTTGTAAAGGACTTGGATTATGTGCAAAGCCTTGTTTAGTTCTGAGGAAAGGAGAAGGATGTAGAGTATATGTGAAACTATGAATGGACACAGTAAAATTAGGGAATAGATGTGTGTACCAAGTCACATGACAGGCACCCATAAAATGTCAAGATAGCTTGCTTCTGAGCTCAAAATTTTCAGTTGAATGAGACATTGTTATAGCAATAGGTTTTACTTCACATCAAAATAGTACACCTTGTTTTGTGTTTACAGCATCTAACATAATTGGTTTTTCAATTGATACACCACAGTGGCATGAGAAACTTCACTCCATACCTCATTTCAACTGTATGCTTTTTGCATTTGGTTATTTCCTCAACCCTGTGACCTTTTTGTTTAGCTAAGGATTAACCATATCGTTCAAACCCGTATTTTGTTTTTCTTTTCTCCAGCATACGATTGTTTGGAGCAGACATATGTTTGTTCCAGAAAGACTATTGATGCTCTCTCTCACATAATGGGTTTCAAAGGTGCGACTTGTTTAAGCAATGTCTGGTATACCACATGTTCACAGGAGGAGATGCACGGCTAGCATGTGCGTTCTTAGTAACTAAGTTGTTAGGGTAAAATTTAATGAACTGCACAGATTTGGAGACAGATCAACTTTCCAATACATTTGATTAATTACACTTAGATGTAGGACAAGCATCATTGAATTTTTTCAAGCACTCTTAATGTTCATTTTTCATAGAATGCTCACATGTACTTCCCGCAGTTCTCACAAATGCATGAAGTGCATGATGTTAGATTGTTTGTTCTGTGATGCAGACTAGGCTACTCATAAGGTTTTGTGGCATCTTCAGAGGTGTTTGGAGCCACTTTTGTTGATATTTAAAAAGAAATGAACTCATGCCACAATACACTTGGTTGGTTTTTCACAACTGAAAGCCTTGGAACATCGATCTATAAAATAACTGACTTTTATTCTCATTTTTAATTAAATTTTGTTAGGAATGTTTTGTATAATCTTGTTTGCAAGGGCTTTTAGATCTTTCAGGTTGTATCTATGTTGTGTTATCAGAGAGGTCTTGACAACCACACGCTAAATGATGCAGAAAGGAATAGGTTGGAAGCAACACTATATGAAACTTCTCTCTTTCTCTCACACACAAAGAGAGAGAGAGACAGACAGACAGACAGACACACATACACACACACACTTCAAGCTATACTATTTAAAGAAAGATATGTTTTGAATTTTTCCACTTTCTTAATGATATACAGGAGCATTTGATCGAAAATGAAGTCTCAATACTGCGCAGAGTAAAACATCCCAATATTATCATGCTGATAGAGGAGATGGATACTGCAACTGAACTGTATTTGGTGATGGAGCTGGTCAAGGTGAGAGCCTTAAACTGACCTGATTGAATGGCTCTGGAAAAAGAATAATAATGTAATGTCTCTAAACTTCTTAGATTGGTGGGTTTTGTTTTGTTAAAGAACTGTTTTTTTCTCCCCACCCCAACGCTTTTACAGGGAGGAGACCTTTTTGATGCTATTACATCCTCAACAAAATACACAGAGCGTGATGGAAGTGCAATGGTGTACAATCTAGCCAGTGCACTTAAATATCTCCATGGTCTCAGTATTGTCCACAGAGACATCAAGCCAGAAAACCTCCTGGTATGCTCCTTGTTTTCACTTGGTTTATTTATGTCTCTCATCCACAGTAATCTAAATGAATAAATCCATGTATGTATTAAGAAGCAATCAGAACTGTAGTGAAACTTGAATTAAATGATTGTATGCTTAAAACTGAATCATTTTACATGAAATATTAATAGCCTTGGATCATATTATTTGTCTCATAACTTATCCAAATCCTGTCCTCATTCACATTTTGATTAGTGATAATGCCTTAAGTTAGTAGAATTTCATTTTTGTTACCAATGAAGATTTTTAAATGGGGAAAACAGTCTTTGTAAGAACAGGCTAAAAATAACAAATGATTCAAAAATTTCCAGTTATTTTTATCCATGTATTTATTTTTAAAAGCTGTACATTTAAGTGCTTTTACATAGGAATTTTAAAACCCACATTTATAATAAAACACAAAATTGTTAAAAACAGGTCACATGAGATGAAAAAATGAAAATATTGCATATATACTTAAGAGACAGTAGAATGAGTTTGCTGAAAGCATGAGCAAGGTGTGTGGAGGAGATACATAGAGCTGAATCACATGGCCAGAAGCAGTCCCAGAAGGCCAGAAGCAATTGGTACTCGTATCTCAGTTTGTTGTTTTTCCTCTGGAGCCAGAAAGGCTGCTCCTGAGGGTGGGGAGGCTGTCCTCCCATCTAACTTTTCAGTCAATAAAAAACAGATGAGTAGTGGAAGTGCCATGAAACAACGGAGCCTTATGGATTACAATCCTTTCCTCCCCCTCAGTGGATTGACTCAATGGCCAAAATCCTCTTGTGAAGTCATGCTGGTATCATGCTAACGGAGCAATATTTGGGAAAAAAATTGCCAGAAATTAAGATACAATCAAATACATTATTGGTTGTGCACTGAAATGTGTGGCGCAGTATTCAATTGATAATATCTATGGTAATTTCTCAATTTAGCACAGTTTACATCTAAAAGTTACACTATTACCGTTATGCCAGCAAAACTCCACAAGAGGATTTTGGCCAACAAAGGAAGAACAGTACAGAGAACAACATTGTTATCAGAAATGAATGCATGCATATATGACTGCATCTTTACTGTACAGTACCTTGAGAAATATTTTGGCGTGATAATCATGAAACAGTGTGTCATGTTTTATGAACAGAGATATCTAGTGAATAAGTACTGTTTGCTAAGGTACAGTGGCAGGGTATGGATCACTATTGTTGATTCTGCCTATGTTAAAATAACAACAGTGACATCAGGAACCCTAAGTGAGTTGAAGCTCTCGGGCTAATCTGACACTTTAATCTCTCATTAGTAATCAAATCAGGTATAAATAGGCACAGATGCACTTCTCACTTAGAAAGCCTAAAGAGATTACTTGACAGATGCCATGACTGGCATGGACTTTTATGTTACGTTGGGATGTCGTAATAGTGCTCAGTGTAGGCTCTTTATTCTAGAAGTACATCCAGTTGCTTGGTGTAAGGTCAGCCAGTTGTCTCATTTGCATTCACTTTTATCAGCTTTTCATTGTTATATACAATAACAGTGATGTGCTGTTGAGAATCAGGAAAGTTTCTCTTGAGGCTGTGAACTACCACAGTATATTCCATGGTTGGGTGGTAGCTTAATTTTGACATCTTGCAGCTGCATATCTGCTAATAATTGGGCCCTTTCTTCTTTCTTTATATGTATCAGAGTGTTGCACAATTTAAAATTATGGACATATATGAAATATAGGTAAAATTAAAAACAAAATGAAACGTTGAGATAATTAGACTATTTTTGATCAGAGTGGGCTACTTCAGTAGCACTATCTTGGTTATTTGCTACATCTTTTGTACACTAGGGCATAAATTACATAGACATAAATGCTGCACTGATTGAATTTTTCCATAGTCACAGAAAATTTGTCCTGTATCCAAGTGGTCCCATTTTTTAATTATTATTCTTTGATTGTCCTACTTTGCTTTGGTATCTATTAAGTGATTTCCAAACGGTCCAGTTATAGTCTTGTCCTGGTGGGAGACACTTCTCAGCCTTCATCCATTTGGCAAAGTGGTTTTGTTATTGTTGTTGTTGTTGTTGTTTTCCATAGGTTTAGCCTAGCCTTGTCTGGTTTAATATTTACAGGTTGAGATGTGTGCAGAAAACATGTCCTTGATTTTAGTCATCATCTATGGCGGAACCACCACCACTAACTGTGTTGGCTGGGGTTTCTGGGAGTTGCAATTCATGAACACCTGGGATACCCAAGGTTGGGAACCACTGGTCTATGGGGCTGGTGTCCTTCCATAGGTTTAGCCTAGCCTCGTCTGGTTTAATATTTACAGGTTGAGATGTGTGCAGAAAACATGTCCTTGATTTTAGTCATCATCTATGGCGGAACCACCACCACTAACTGTGTTGGCTGGGGTTTCTGGGAGTTGCAATTCATGAACACCTGGGATACCCAAGGTTGGGAACCACTGGTCTATGGGGCTGGTGTCCTATAATTGTGCTCAAGACTAAACAGTTCAGAGACTCAACCATAACTGTCCAATGCAACATTAACTCAAGTTACTTACAAATAAAGAGCCATCCATTAAATATAAGCATGCATTACATTACAGTGTTTTTGTTAAAATAAAAAATTTAAAAGTACATGAAACTGAAAAGACAGTACAAGCAACCTTCTGCTTCGCAAAGCTGTATATTGATGGTACAGTCTGGGAATTCATACATGAAGTATTATATGTATTCGTCATTCAGTCTCACTCTTTTTTTTTTTGCTTTAATTATACATGCTAACAGGATTAATATGGCTACCTCTTTGAAAATTCTTAATTTTTTCCTACAAATATGCTGGTTTGATCAATCATAGCTCAAAGTTGATTTTCTTGATACCAGCTCTAATTAAGTTTAACATAATGTGAATTATTCAGAGATCATAGCAACATGTGGTTACGTAGAAGGTGGAAGCAAAAAACACCATTTTTTGCATTACTGTACAGTAGGACCTCCCTATCCACAGGAAAATAGTAAAAACGAAACAAAACCCAGAAATATGTATTTGTGTGTTTCCAAGGTGCATTTACCAGAGCAGGCCATTAGAGGCAGCCAGAGACCATGCAATGTATAACGTTCAATACTTCTACAGTATTTTTCATTCATTCATTCATTCATTCATTCATTCATTCATTCATTCATTCATTCATTTTGGCCTCTGTAGGGGGGGCAGCTTGGAACCCATGGTTTCACTATTTGGGGTAGGAGAAAGTATTCCAATTGCACTTTCCCAGTTTCTCAGTACAATTTACTGAGCATTAATTCAAACAACAGTCCTGTAAAGCATTGTTTCGGCGTTTCTCAAGTATAAAATATTATGCTTGCTCTTGTCTCTTCCCTTCAGGTCTGTGAATATCCAGATGGGACAAAGTCCCTGAAGCTAGGAGATTTTGGACTAGCCACAGTGGTAGAAGGACCTCTCTATACAGTCTGTGGCACACCAACATATGTGGCTCCGGAAATCATTGCAGAGACAGGGTGAGAATGTATTATTTGTTTGATGCATGAGAAAAAAGTGTGTGCTCAAAAACATGGAACTCTGAGCAAGAAATCTGTTCAGAATCACATGTTCAGGAACACAACCAATACCTCATTAACTAGAGACACTTCACTTTATTGTCTGGTGATGAATGCTATTTATTTATATGTTCATCTCAGATGCTATATACAAAACTGTTTTAAAAGTGGTTTCCAAAGTCCACACAAATCGTAGGTGTGTTGGTTCAAATCCACAAGTTACTAATGCAGCAGAACTTGTGACAGGATGCAATATCTGCAATACTCCCCATTTAGCTTCTTTTGAACAGATAATGTGCAGGTACATGTTATTAGCTTAGTGGTTTCTTTAATATAATACATGGTAGAAGATGAGAAAGGAGCAGGAGATATGCAATTTGGATTTGGATGAGATTTGGGAACCAGGATAGCACTATTCTGCCTACACATCTAGGGGAAAGATGTTATGTGATATAAATGTGAATGCATATGCTTGTTCTATTGACTGTGAGAAGACCTTTGACAGAATCCAACATTACCAAAAAAGCAAAAACTCATACAATGCAGAAAGGTAGACTACTTTGAATGCATAGTAAGAAATGAAAAGTGCAGAGGGCAAAAGTTGAATTAATGGAGGAAAAAAACACAGGGGAAAAAGAACTTATTGTCTGAAGCAGTTTGAAAACTAGAATGATTGCTTATAGCTGCCACACCCGTGATGATATTTACCCTCCAATAGGAGAACAAGAAAAAGATAATGTACAGTACACTCTGTGAGAGAATCAGAAAACTGACTCTGGCTGAAATCCTGTTACTTTGTTTGGCAAGCAGAAGACAAATGGCATAACAGTCAGTGACTTCTAGTCAACAATTATCAAGTTGTTCCTGGAATATCCACATCTACTGGTGTGGTGTATGCTAGACAATCACCGTAGGAACTCATTAATTGCCAGCTGTAAGTAACTGGCGAATGGGCTTGAGTAATTCGGAAAACCTATGGGCTATGCCATGCAGGGACACCCAAAACAGGCAGGTAATAGTGGAGAGTTCTGACTAAATGTGATCCACCTGGAGCAGGAACTGGCAAGCCACTCCAGTATCTTTGCCAAGAAAACCCCATGAACCGAAACAAAAGGCTAAAAGATATGACGCTGGACGATGAGCCCCTCAGGTCAGAAGGCGTCCAACATGCTACTGAGGAAGAGTGGAGGACAAGTACAAGTAGCTCCAGAGTAATGAAGTGATTGGGCCAAAGCTCAAATGATGCTCAGCTGTGGACACGCCTCGAAGTGAAAGGAAAGTCCGATGCTGCAAAGAAAAATACTGCATAGGAACCTGGAATATAAGAACTATCAACCTTCATAAGCTGGATGTGGTCAAACAGGAGATGGCAAGAATAAACATTGATATCCTGGGCATCAGTGAACTAAAATGGATGCGAATGGGCGAATTCAATTCAGATGATTATCATATCTACTATTGTGGGCAAGAATCCCATAGAAGAAATGGAGTAGCCCTCATAGTCAACAAAAGAGTGGGGAAAGCTGTACTGGGATATAACCTCAAAAATGATAGAATGATTTCAATATGAATCCAAGGCATACCTTTCAACATCACAGTAATCCAAGTTTATGCACCAACCACCAATGCTGAAGAGGCTGAAATTGACCAATTCTATGAAGACTTACAACACCTTCTAGAATTGACACCAAAGAAAGATGTTCTTCTCATTATAGGGGATTGGGATAATAAAATAGGGAGTCAAGAGATAAAAGGAACAACAGGTAAGTTTGGCCTTGGAGTTCAAAACAAAGCAGGGCAACGGCTAATAGAGTTTTGTCAAGAGAACAAGCTGGTCATCACAAACACTTATTTCCAACAACACAAGAGGCGACTCTACACACGGACATCCCCAGATGGGCAATACCGCAATCAGATTGATTATGTTCTCTGCAGCCAAAGATGGAGAAGCTCTATACAGTCAGCAAAAACAAGACCTGGAGCTGATTGTGGCTCTGATCATCAGCTTCTTAAAGCACAACTCAAGCTTAAACTGAAGAGAGTAGGAAAAACCACTGGGCTAGTCAGGTATAATCTAAACCAAATCCCTTATGAATTCACAGTGGAAGTGAAGAACAGATTTAAGGAACTCGATTTGGTGGACACAGTGCCTGAAGAACTATGGATGAAAGCTCGTAACATTGTACAGGAGGCAGCAACAAAAACCATCCCAAAGAAAAGGAAATGCAAGAAAGCAAAGTGGCTGTCCAACTAGGCCTTACAAATAGCAGAGAAGAGAAGGGAAACAAAATGCAGATAGGGAGATAGGGAAAGTTACAGAAAATTGAATGCAGACTTCCAAGGAATAGCAAGGAGAGACAAGAGGGCCTTCTTAAATGAACAGTGCAAAGAAATAGAGGAAAATAATAGAAAGAGAAAAACCTAAGATTTGTTCAACAAAATTGGAGATATGAAAGGAACCTTTTGTGCAAACATGGACATGATAAAGGACAAAAATGGCAGGGACCTCACAGAAGCAGAAGACATCAAGAAGAGGTGGCAAGAGTACACAGAGGA